AAATATATTTTATTCATCTCCATATCTCTAGTGCCTACCATCACAGCTAGCCCACAGACTGATCTCCATGGGGAGATAGGGGCCTGGGCACACCTTCTCTTCCCTGGACTTGCAGATGTTTGCCCAGTTCCTGAAGGCTCCCCACACCCTGTCCTGCTCCTCTGTATAGCAGGACAGATTGAGGCGAGATCAGCTCCACTGACCTTGCAGATTCAGGTGTGAGCATGGACCTTCACCGCAGCCCTCCTAGTGAAAAGCCTCCTCAGTTCAAAGGAGGCTACTCAGACTGGTTAAAGGTTGAAATCACCCATTTCAGTTTTTTTTCATCTTATTGTGATCTTTATTTTTTGGAGACATAGGCTGCTGCCCAGGCTAGAGTGCAGTGGTGCTATTTCGGCTCACTGCAACCTCTGCCTCCTGGGTTCAAGCAGTTCTCCTGTCTCAGCCTCCTGAGTAGCTGTGATTACAGGCGCCCACCACTATGCCAGGCTAATTTTTATATTTTTAGTAGAGACAGGGTTTTGCCATGTTGGCCAGGCTAGTCTCAAACTCCTGGTCTCAAGTGATCCACCTGCCTTGACCTTCCAAATTACTGGGATTATAGGTGTGAGCCACTGTACTTCAGTTTGTTTTTATTTTTACTTCTTTTTCTTTTCTCTCCCTCCCTCCCTCCCTCCCTCCCTCCCTTCCTTCCTTCCTTCTTTCCTTCCTTCCTTCTTTTCTTCCCTCGCTCCCTCTTCTTTCTTGTTTTGTTTTGTTTTCTTTTCTCCTTTCCTTCTTCCTTTCTTTCTTTCGAGACAGGGTCTGGTTCTGTTATCCAGGCTGGAGAGCAGTGACTCACTGCAACCTCTGCCTCCCAGCCTCAGGCGATCCTCTCACCTCAGCCTCTTGGGTAGCTGGGACTACAGACACGTGCCACCATGCTGACAATTTTTTCTGGTATTTTTTGTAGAGACAGGGTTTCACTATGTTGACCAGGCTGGTCTTGAACTCCTGGGCTGAAACGATCCGCTTACCTAGCCTCCAAAGTGCTGGGATTACGGGTTTGAGCCACATTGCCCAGCCTATTTTTATTTCTAGTTAAAAAATATATATTAGACGATTATTTAAAATAAAAAGGTTTAAAGGAGGCACACAACACATACACATAAAAATGCTGAAAATCACAACCAAGAAAGTAAATCTTACCTATAATCCGTGACTTTAAAAAATATATAAAGGATTATATATAATAGTTTCCTTAACCTCACCCTTCCAATCCCAAAGGTTAAGCATTATCAATAATTTTTCCTTTACTTATACTGATATATCATTTTTGTAAAAAAAAAAAAGTATAGTCAAATACATAAAAAATTTACCATCTTAACAATTTTTAAATTTTATTTATTTTTAGAGACAGGGTCTTGCGATGTTGCTGAGGCTGGTCTCAAACTCCTGGGCTCAAATGAGTCTTCTACCTCAGTTTCCCTAGTAGCTGGAACTACGGGTGTGCACTGTTGCATCCAGCTTACCTTAACCCTTTTTAAGTGTACAGTTCAGTGGTATGAAGTACATTCACATTGTTGTGCAACTACCGCTACCATCCATTTTCAGAATACTTTCCACCTTGCAAAACAAGTCTATGCTCATTAAACAATAACCTTCTTTCTCTTCCCTACATTCTATCCCCTGGCAACCACCACTGTGCTTTCTGTCTCTACAAATTTGACTGCTCTAGGTATCTCATACAAGTAGAATCATACAGTATTTGTATTTCTTGACTGTCTTATTTCACTTAACATAATATTGTCAAGGTTCATTCATGTTGTAGCACATGCAAGAATTTCTTTCCTTTTCAGGGCTGAATAATATTCCATTGTATGTATATACCACATTTTGTTTATTCATCCATCCTTTCATGGATACTTGAGTTGGTTCCACCTTTTGGCTATTGTGAATAATGCCACTATAAACATAGGTATACAAATACCTCTTGGAGACCCTGGTTTCAATTCTTTTGCGTATATATCCAGAAGTGGAATTGCTGGATAATATGGTAATTCTATTGTATTTTATTTTACTTTACTTTTTTGAGACAAGATCTTGCTCTATTGCCCAGGCTGGAGTGCAGTGGTGTGATCTTGGCTCACTTCAATCTCTGTTTCCCAGGTTCAAATGATTCTTTTGCCTTAGTCTATCAAGTAGCTGGGATTACAGGCGTGCACCACCACGCCTGGCTAATTTTTGCATTTTTAGTAGAGATGGGGTTTCACCATTATTGGCCAGGCTGGTCTCGAACTCTTGACTTCAAATGATTTGTCTGTTTCGGTCTCCCAAAGTGCTGGGATTACAGGCATGAGCCCCTGTGCCTGGCCTCTAATTCTTTTTTTTCAGACGGAGTTTCACTCTGTCACCCAGGCTGGAGTGCAATGGCGTGGTCATGGCTCACTGCAACCTCTGCCTCCTGGGTTCAAGAAATTCTCCACCTCGGCCTCCTGAGTAGCTGGGACTACAGGTGCGTGCTACCACACCCGGTTAATTTTTTATTTTTAGTAGAGACTGGGTTTCACTATGTTGGCTAGGCTGACTCCTCACCTTGTGATCCGCCCACCTTGGCCTCCCAAAGTGCTGGGATTATAGGCGTGAGCCACCGTGCTCAGCCTAATTTTTAATTTAAAAAAAATTTTTTGGTATAGATGGGGTTTCACTACTTTGATTACGCTGGTCTCAAACTCCTGGGCTCAAGAGATCCTCCTGTGTCAGCCTCCCAAAGTGCTAGAATTACAAATGTGAGCCATCATGCCTGGCCCTATTTTTAAATTTGTAAAGAAAAAAGAATTTCTATAGTTTTCCACAGTGGCTGTATTATTTTCCATCCCCACCAACAGCAGACAAGGATTCCAGTTTCTTCACATCCTCATTAATGCTTGTTCTTTTCCACTTTTTTTTTTTTTTGTAATAGTAGCTATCCTAGTGGGTATGCTGATGTATCCTTTTATGTTCCTTTTAGAAACAAAAAATGGGCCAGGTGCAGTGGCACGTACCTGTAGTCCCAGCTACTTAGGAGACTGAGGTGGGAGGATTGCTTGAGCCCCGGAGTTCGATTCCAGTCTGGGCAACAAGACTTCATATCTAAAAAAAATTTTTAAATGGGATCATGTTGTACAAATTACTTGCAGCTTGTTTTTATTTTACACTTAGCAGAATATCAAGGACATCTTTTCAGTATAGTACATAGAGATTCACACATTTCCCTTTAACACCTGCATAGTATTCAGTTGCATGGGTGTATCATTTATTTATTGACTTATTTAGCTGTCAGTGGATATTTAGGTTGTTTCCAGATTTATGAGGTTACAGTGCTGTAATAAACATTTTTGAACTTCACATACTTGTGCTATATATTTTTTTCTTTGTGAGATAGACTCCTATAAGTGGTTTTGCTGGGTCACAGGGTATGCATTTTTTTTTTTTTTTTTTTTTTGAGATGGGGTCTTGCTCTGTCACCCAGGCTGGAGTGCAGTGGAGCAATCTGGCTCACTGCAACCTCTGCTTTTCTGATTCAAGTGATTCTTCTGCCTCAGCCTCCCGAGTAGCTGGGGCTACAGGTGCACACCACTATGCCCAGCTAATTTTTGTATATTTAGTAGAGACAGGATTTCACCAAGTTGGCCAGGATGGTCTCGATCTCTTGAGCTTGTGACCTGCCCGCCTCGGCTTCCCAAAGTGCTGGGATTACAGGCGTGAGCCACCGCACCTGGCCCCATTATTATTATTATTATTATTATTATTATTATTAAAAAAGAAAAGCCTCTCTGATGAGGTAACATTTGAGCAGAAACCTGAAAGGGGTGAGGGAACAAGACATGTAGCTATTTAGAGGAGGAAAATTCCTCTAAATGCAGAGCGAATATAGCAAGATCAAAAGCCCTGAGTTGGTAGGATGCTTGCTGTGTTCAAGAAACAACAGTGAAAAGATAGTTAAAACAAAACAAAAACAAAGCATACGTTTGGAAACTTACAAAACACCAACTGTACCATTAAGGAATAGCTTTTGGCTGTAAGTGAAAGAGTCCTGCGAAGCAACAGCTTTATTTATTTAGAGACGGAGTCTCGCTCTGTCTCCCAGGCTGGAGTGCAGTGGTGTGACCTCGGCTCACTGCAACCTCTACCTCCCAGGTTCAAGTGATTTTCCTGCCTCAGCCTCCTGAGTAGCTGGTACTACAGGTGCGTGTCACGCCTGGCTAATTTTTGTATTTTAGTAGAGACGGGGTTTCGCCATATTGGTCAGGCTGGTCTTGAACTCCTGGCCTCATGATCTGCTTGCCTCAGCCTCCCAAAGTGCTGGGATTACAAACATGAGCCACCGCTCCTGGCTGAAGCAACAGCTTTAAAAAACCTACTTCTCTTTCTCCTAACAGAAATTCTGGAGGCAGGTAGTTCCTGGCATTAGGTTGATGACTCAAAGTATTTAGTTCAAAATCTTTGTGATTTGGGGCTGGGTGTGGTGGCTCCCACCTGTAATTCCAGCGCTTTGGGAGGCTGAGATGGGTGGATCACCTGAGGGCAGGTGTTTGAGCCTGACCAACATGGTGAAACCAGTCCCTACTAAAAATACAAAAATTAGCTGGGCATGGTGGCGTGCGCCTGTAATCCCAGCTACTTGGGAAGCTGAGGCATGAGAATCGCTTGAGCCCAGAAGACAGAGTTTGCAGTGAGTGGAGATTATGCCACTGCACTCCAGCCTGGGCAAAAGAGTGAAACTGTGTTGCCAAAAAAAAAAAAACCAAAAACACTTTGTGATTTTTCTTGTCCTTTTCTTCAGTTTCTGAATAGCTGCTCCAGCTCCAGCCTTCATGTATACACTCAAGGCAGGAGAAAGAACTAGGAAATATAAAACATCTCCAGAGCTCTTCCTTTCCTCTTCTTCTTCCCCTTCTTTCCTCCCCTCCATCTGTGCGCCCTTCTCCCCGCCCCATATAACTTTCCCATGTCTCAGCAACAAATTACCACAAACTTAGTGGCTTACAACAACACATATTTATTATCTGACAGTTTCTGTGGGTCAGGAGTCTGGAGATGGCTTAGATGGGTCCTTTGCTCAGAGTCTCACAGGCTGCAATCATGACATTGGTGGGCTGCATTCTCATCAGAGGTTTCCAATCTCCTTCAGGTTGCTGGCAGAATTCATTTCCTCGAAGCTGTAGAACTTGTGACAGTATGTTTCTTAAAGGCAGAAAGAGAGCAAAACTAGGTCTGAGTTTGAGGACAGTGGCATCTATTATAATGAGTGCCAGTGCTTAGATCTTAACACTGAAATACCATTCTTCATTGAAAAGAATCAGAGCTCTTTAGAGTAATGCCTCATTTGAGGGCTGGGTGAAAGAAAGTGTGAGAAGAGCTTAGAATATCTTAGACCAAAAAGCAAGGAATAGCTCAAAGAATGATGAGGACACATCAAAAGGACCCTGAATGGTACGACCATTTTGGGAAACAGTTTGGCAATTTCTTTTAAAGTAAAATACAGGTCCTTGAATAACATTATTTTATTCCAATGTTGATGAGAAAAAAGGCAAATCACTTACTTAGCCTGGGTCACCAGTGTAGTTTGGACTCTCTCTGTCTGTTTTCTCTGTGTACTCTGGTTTCCTCCCACATCCCAAAGACATGTACATTAGATTAACTGGCATGTTTCAGTTGTCCTGGTCTGAGTAAGTGGTGGTGTGCATGTGAGTGCACCCTGCAATAGCGTAGCATCCTATCCATGGTTGGTTCCTGCCTTGCACCTTGAGCTGCTTGGATAGGCTTTGGCCACTGTCGACCCTGAACTGGAAAAACTGGGTAAATAATGATCTTTCTCATTTATTTTTGAGACACAGTCTCACACTGTTTCCTGGGCTGGAGTGTATACTTACTGTATACACTTACCCTACTCATTTATTCCACTTCTAGCCCATCTCTGATTTCAGCTGAAGCTTTGGTGGACAGTTCCACTTCCCTTCATCCTGCTAGCATTTCCTAGTATAGAGGAGTCACCTTTGATTGGAGATTGTGTTAGTTTCTCATGGATGCTGTAACAAATTATCAAACACATAGTGGCTTAAAACAATAAACATTTTTTTTGTTTAATTTTTTGAGACAGAGTTTCACTCTTGTCTCCAGGCTTAAGTGCAATCTCGGCTCACTGCAACCTCCACCTCCTGGGTACAACCGATTCTAGTAGCTGGGAGCTAATTTTGTATTTTTAGTAGAGACGGGGTTTCACCATGTTGGCCAGGTTGCTCTTCAACCCCTGACCTCAGGTGATCCATCCGCCTTGGCCTTCCAAGGTGCTGGGATTACAGACGTGAGCCACTGCGCCTGGCCAACAGTACACATTTATTATCTCACAGGTCTGTAGTTTAGAAGTCCTAACAGATGTCAGTGGGCTAAAATTAAGGTATCATCAGGATACCGTCTCCTCCTTTTCAGAGGCTCCAAGAGAGGGTCCATTTTCTTAACTTTTCCATTTTCTGGAGTCTGCTCCCAAAGGCTGGCGAGTCCCTTTCCCCAAATCCTTAATTTAGTCACATCTGCAGAGTCCTTTGTCATGGAAGGTAACCTATTTATAGTTCCCAGGGATTGGCATGTGAACATTTTGGATGAACCATTATTTTGCCTACTGCAGAGATCATGAAAAGACAGTCTAGGTTAGAGTCATTTTACTGGGTTGTGATCCTGGGTTAAGTTACTTAATCCCTCTGTGCCTCAGTTCCCTCATCAATAAGATGGGTGAGGATAACAACAGAATCTACCTTAGGGAATAGAGTTTTAAAGTCAGTGTTTGTAAGTACTCAGAGCAGTATCTGGCACATAGTAAACACAATATGAACATTTATTAAATAATTTTTTTTTTGAGATGAAGTTCACTCTTGTCTCCCAGGCTAGAGTGTGGTGGTGCGATCTCAGTTCACTACAATTTCTGTCTCCTGGGTTCAAGCAATTCTCCTGCCTCAGCCTCCCAGGAAGCTGGGATTACAGGTGCCCACCATCACACCCAGCTAATTTTTGTATTTTTAGTAGAGATGGGCTTTCACCATGTTGGCCAGGCCAGTCTCAAACTCCTGACCTCAGTTGATCCGCCCACCTTGGCCTCCCAAAGTGCTAGAATTACAGACTTGAGCCACCACACCTGGCCTTATTAAATACATTGTGACAACATATTGATTCCTGGTATATGTCAAACACTGTTTTAGGTGCTGAGGATATGGATAGGAATATGACTTGTTGTCAAGGATCTCAAGAAATTAGATACACAAATGCAGTTATTACCATAAAGGACATAGAAATACTACAGGGTTATAGTGTTGTTAAGGCTTAGGGAAACTTTAGAAGTATGAATCGAATGAATATGAATATGAATGACATTTGAACTCAGCTTTGTACAATGAGTAGGTGTTGGTCAGCCAGATAAGTAGGGAAGAGCTCGTAGACATGAAGAAATGTGTATTCAAAGAACATTAGTATTTCAGTGCATCTGGAGCAAAAAATAAATGGTGTGAGACAAGCTAGAAAGGCTAATGTAAGCAGTCAGGTAGTAAAGTGCCAAGTTCAGGAATTTGGACTTTATCCTGAAAGCAATAAAATCCTTTTGGTGTTTAAACAGGGACATCATCAGATTTGTGCATTTATAAGGCTACTCAGGTAACCAGTGAGAAAAAGAGATTGAATTTGAAGAGACTAAAGGTTGCTTCAGTTGTTCATGTGGCGTTAGCAGAAAACACAGGCAAGGATTTAAAAAATATTTAGGAGAATCTCCAAGACTTGGTGACCAACTTGATATGGATGTTGAGAGGGGAAGAATGGGATCTATTAGCATGTAAGTTCCTGGCTTAGGGGACTGATGAATGGTGGCTCATTCATTGATACCGGAAAGGAACATAAGAAACAATTTTTGGGGGGCAATAATAGTAATAGCCAACATTCTAAAGGGCTTGATTGTTACTATTATTACTATGGTAAAACTCAGGCTTAGGAAGACCTAGTTAAGGTACTATTTATTATTACAGAGAAATTACAGCTTAGAAATGTTACGGTCCCATCACTAACATTTGAACAGCAAGGACCTGAAGCAAGGCAATCTGATTCCGGATTCTTAGCCTTTCTAATGCTGTCTCAGTTTCGCACATATTGAATCTGTAAGTATGCTAGTAATGCTGCTCAGGAGGTATTGGGAAAAACACAATCTGAGCTCAGGCAAAGAAATCTTTGGGTCGAAAGTACCCTGCAAAGTAGGGGAAAAAGCGTGAAAGGAAGCCCATTTTTTCCCTATGTCAGTTTACAATAGTTCAAACTTCTCCGTTATCATTTCTTTGTCTTTCTCCCTCCTCCGCCCCCTTTCCCACCTCCTACACAAAGAAAACACAATACATGTCTGGCTCTGAGACGACACAGCATCGGATAGTTTTCAAATTCAGGTCTTGACAAGCTCATAGATGAAGTGATGCTTTGTTATCCTGAAGAAGACCCTCAGCCCTGAAAGTTAGCTGTCTTTTTCCATCCTGCCTACACCACTAGCCCTCCCACAAATCGTCCCAAAATCGTGTGGTAGAAACTCTTCAGGGAAACAGCCCTCCACCGACAGCAGACCGAGAAGAGTGACACAAGGCGATGATGTCACGCAGCAGCCGGGTGATTCCCCAGCCCTGGCGTTACGCGCCGATGACGTCATCCCAGGCGCTCACCCTCCAGCCGGCCAGGGTTGGCCTCGCTCCCTCGGGTGGGTCCGGCCCTCCCCGCCCCCTCCCACCTGCGGGAGGCGGGGCGGCCGAGGCTCCGCCGGAGGGGGAGGAAGAGGAGGAGGGGAAGGGGGACGGGGAGGGGGAGGGGGAGAGGAGCCAGTGGGGGAGGCGGTCTTGTCGGCTGGGCGGAGTACAATAGCGCGGCTGTGGGCGGGGGAGGCAGCCCTGCCGCGGCTGCAGACCGAGCCGAAGGTGGCGGCTGCACAGTAGACGCCCCCTCACGGCTTTCCCCACACGCTCCCGCCCCTTTTCTCGCCGGTCACGCCTCCCTCACCGGCGCTGCAGTCGTCCTCCACAGACGCTTTCCCCCCAGACTCTTATTCCCTTTTTCTCTAAGCTCCGCGCCCTCGGGATCCCCCTCGAAGAACTTGGTCTCCGCATCGAGTTCCCACCTCCTGCCTCAAAGGCCATCCGAGTCCCTCGCACCCCGCCCCTCAGCCCCCCGGTCTCCCCCGTGTGTTGCTTGGCTCCCTCCCGACCCCCATCACCCCTTCCCTCGCAGTTCCCCTGTCCTGAGGGGCTCCGCGGCACGGGCGGCGCTGCGGCGGCAGGAGGGAGAAAGTGAAGTGGCCGCTCGCGCACACTCGCGCGCTCACTCCCGGCTCAGCGGCACCCACCACCGGGAGGAGTAGGAGAAGGAGCCGAGTGGAGCTGAGCGAGAGCGGAAGGTGAGAGCCGGCCTCCTGCCTGGTACCCCTCGCTTCCCAGGCTGCCTGGCTGGGTCGCGGCTGTGGCGGTGGTGCTGGCGGGCAGGGCAGAGTCGGGGTCTGGGCCCATGCATCCCGCGTTGCGGGGCCGGGCGCCTGGGCTGGCGGAGGCTCCAGGTAAGGTGGGGCGGGAGCCGCCCCGCGAGGCCGGCCGCTACCGTCTGGCCAACAAAGGCCCCCAGTGCGCGCTGCCGCGGGGTCGCGGGGCTCAGACGCCGGGCGACTCTAGAGACCCGGGAGAGGGAAGGGGCGGGGCGCAGCCAGGCCAGGCTGGGGCCGCGAGGCCACACGGGTCCCAGTCCGGGACGGAGTACGCCGCCAACTTCGCAGTCCTGCAGCGCTCACTCTGCTCCGCTACGAGGCGGCACAGCAAAGCGGCGCCCAGTTCCTTCTGCATGGAAAAATGACCCCTTCCAGGTTTGAAGTCACCTTTAGGGCTCTACTCCCTGAAAAATAAGTGCTGGTAGGACTTGACTTACGCAGCCCCTCCCCCACCCCGGAATATTCTGTAACTTGGAAGTGAAAACCGGGAAAGGAGAATTATAGTTATTTTATGTTCATTATTCCATTGAAAAGACATGATTGTTGTAGCCATCGCTATCCTGTTTCAGCAGTACCCATTACTGGGAGTGTTTTGAAAGAATACTTGAGAAATAGTGGTCGTTGGATAATTGTTCTACTCTTTCAGAAACTGAACAGTGAAGGAAGGGTTAGCTCTGTGGTTACTAATAAAAATCGAGATTCATTAGTCTTGACTTTAAGAATTGTCTTGAGAAAAATCTTTAATTTTGTCTCCTACATTTTTGGGTTCTCTTTCAACTCTGTCAGAAGAAAGCAGGAATTAACAGTACAGAGACACTTCATCCCTTTTACCTTGTGGCTTCATCTACTTCCTGTGTGACCTTGAGCAGGTCACTTCCAGCTTTAAAAGCTCCAAAAGTTTGCGTTTACGCCCCCAAATGGGCAGCTAGCAAGCATCTATTCAGCTTTCAAGAGTCCACTGAAGAATTCCCCCATTGTGAAGTCTTTGCTGGCCTTCATCCTGTCCCTCCTCTCAAGCAGAACTGACTTCTTCCTATTGGCCCAGTGGGATTTCTACCACAACACTTGTAACATTTTGGTTCTTATTTGGAAAATTCTAAATCAAGTGCATATGAAATCCACCCCACCTCGACTAGAAACTCAGCCTCTCAAAAAGAGTTTTGGGATCATGGACGCTGAAAACTTTCCATACTTTCCCTAAAGCTTATCCATAATCTCACCTGCATGAGCTCTTGGATCTACCTTGGTAAATTTGCTTATTCAGTCAGTTCATTATCCAACGTTACTGGAGTTTGGAGTGCTACTATGTTTCCGGCCTCTTGCTAAGGCTGTGGGGATTCAGAGTCTATGAAGATATTCCCTGACTTCAAAGAGCTCAAAGTCTAATGGGTGAGGTAGACAAGTAAACAATGAAGGTCTGCCCTAATCTCTGGGGGACTCTGGTTGTACAGGTAGTGTGCAATAATTGAGGCTGCTGGACCTGTTTTACAAGTCTTCTCTTGGCCAAAGTGAGTCCTGCAGGGAAGGTGACCCGCCTCATCCATAAGAGGGCATTTGATAAAAAGCTTGTTCAGTTCAGCAAACCACCATGGCATGTATGTATCTGTGCAACAATCCTCCAGGATGCAGGATGTGCACATGTACCCCAGAGCCCAAATACAATAATTAAAAAAAAAAAAGCTTGTTCAGTTCAATTCAGTATACATTTATTAAGTACATGTTTTGAGGCCCCGGATGCTAGATTTGAAGGAAACAGTGCCTCAGAGGAAGATACTGTGAATCCAGAAAGATTTCTGTAAAACAAAACCTTATCAGCACCCCTTACTCCTGACTCTTAATATTCTGAAGATAAATTTCATACTCAACATGGAATGAGAAAGGGATCAGACCACTGCCTGCCTTTGCAGCCTCACTTTCTGTGACTCCCCTACCACTCTCAACTTCGCTTTTGCACGTTCTGCTTTCTTCCTGGAATTATTCTCTCCCACGCCTTACCTGCCTGTGGAGATGTCCTTATTGGGCCTCTGGGATGCAGTCCCTTAGTCTCTCCTTTTCCTGCATAGAATGAGTTGCTCTTCCGTCCTCTGGCTCATGTACATACCACTCTTATGGCCCTCTATAGCATCCTATTGTAATTACTTGAGTTTGTGCCTGTCTTTTTTCAGTAGCCTGTGAATTTCTTGAGGACAGGGTGTGTTTAATTATACTGCCTAGTGAAGCTCCTGACACTGAGTGATTGAATGAATGAACGTATGAATGAAGGAGGAAGTCAAAGCCCGTGAAATAGGGATTACCTAATCCTTTGGAGTTAGAACAATTAGTTCACAAAGTTTGGTTCCTGGACCAGCAGCATCACCATAATCTGGAAACTTGTTAACAAATCAATGGGTCCCATCTGAGACCTACAAATGAAAAACTCTGGGATTGGGGCCCCCAAATAAACCTTTTCTTTAATAAACACTTTAATGATTCTGATACTTTAAAGTTTGAAAACCACTGGGTTAAAAGATCTGCTTTTGATAAAACCCCTGCCAGTCCTGCCGTCCCTTATTTTACTTCCATAGCACTTACTGCATGACATCCCATCCCATCCCCTCCTAATCCATCCCTCTCTTGCCAATAGAATACAAGCTTCCTGAGAGTGGGAAGTTCTGTCAGTTTGCCCATTGCTTTAATCTCAGTGCCTAGAATAGTGACTGCATATAGCAGGCACTCAAGTATTTGTTGAATGAGTAAGATGATTTAACCTTATATATTGCCAGCTACTACATTGAGGTTTTACTCAAGAACAGTTCTCAGAATGAATAGGAACCACACTCCAATATGCAAATCCAAGGGGATCCTAACATTTTTGGGGGATTTATTTTAGGTTGAGCTTTTCTCTTTTACATCTATGTGTTTCCAGCCAAAGCCTGCAAGAATTTTTAGCTTAGTCTGTTTGTTTGTTTGTTTGTTTTAACCACGACCTGAAAACTGCTGTTGCTATATCCCAAGCCAGGATTGTTTCCTGGGAGTTTGCAACTTGGTTTTGTGAGTCTAAATAAGCACTCTTAACTTTTGAGTCTTTTAACTTAAACTGGCTCTTCCTGGTCTCCTGTGGTTTTTGTCTTTCTCTAGAGATGCTTAAAGCTATACAAGGGTCTGTTTGACTCCACACAAAGGTTTCTCTTCCTTGTGAAGCTCCTAAAATGCTTTGTTTCTTTCACTTTCTTATTAGCCCTAAGATACCATGCTCAGTTTTCTCCTTTCCTAGCTTCCTTCTGGGAGAGTGGCTTCACTTATTCATCCATTTACTTATAAAATTATGAGTCCTTTCCACCATGTGTCAGCCTTATGCTGGGGCAGAATATTCAGCTACATACAGGGGTGCAGCCCAAGTCTTTAGGAACTAGAGATAACATGACATGATATGATAAGTGTGGAAATGAAGAGATGACAAAGAGGGATGAAAAATGGTGGTATATTATCATAAAGGTGGGAGAAAGCTGCCTATTTGTTTCTCTCAATTTAGGAATAATTTGTCAGGCATCATTTTGACAGGCAGACTTTTAACAATTTTTAAGAGGTCATGGACTTTGTTGGGGAAAACTAAAACAAAAATCAAGGTAGAATCAGCAGTTACCAATTTGAGAGACATCTCTTAATTCTGTTGTTGCTGGTTTTAATGAATTTTGTGATCCCTCTCCATGTTATTTTTCTAAATAGTAATCAGAAAGTTGGATAAAAATATTTCCTTTTGGTATAGTAAAGAGAGAAGTTTAAGGTTATCAAAATAATATATCTTGCTGTAGTTTATTGTATATTTTTGAAAAGCTATAAACACATGCATCTAAAAAAGCAAGAGGATTTTGACTGTTTATGATAAAGAAATGATAAATGTTTGAAGTGATGAATATGCTAATTATCTTGATTTGATCATTACACATATCAAAATATCACTCTATCCTATAAATACGTACAATTATTACATGTGAACAAAAAATAAAAGGAAAAATGCAATGATTCAAAACTGATAGTATATTCAAACTTGAAAATAAAAAATTTAAACACATTCTCCCACATCAGTATTTGCTCCTTCTGTGTCTTTTTCTATGTCCATTAAAAAAAAAATACATCTTGGGCCGGGCGCGGTGGCTCAAGCCTGTAATCCCAGCACTTTGGGAGGCCGAGGCGGGTGGATCATGAGGTCAAGAGATCGAGACCATCCTGGTCAACATGGTGAAACCCCGTCTCTACTAAAAATACAAAAAATTAGCTGGGCATGGTGGCACGTGCCTGTAATCCCAGCTGCTCAGGAGGCTGAGGCAGGAGAATTGCCTGAACCCAGGAGGCGGAGGTTGTGGTGAGCCGAGATCGCACCATTGTACTCCAGCCTGGGTAACAAGAGCGAAACTCTGTCTCAAGAAAAAAAAAAAAAAATACATCTCTTCACAGATGTTGTTTTAATTTCTAAGGGGTAATGTTGTAATGTGTGGTTGGGGAAAATGAAACCTGGAAAAGTTAGGAGACCTTCATTAGTGTCTATGTTACTGAATGACCTTGTGGAAGTAATTTTTATCTTTGTGTTTTGTCCCAACTGTAAAATGGGGATAGTAATAGTGGCTACAACTAGTTTACAGGTTCATGAAGCAATTAAAGTAATGACTATAAAGGAATCTTTGAAAAGTATAATTTATTAGTTGTTAGGTAGTGATAAACTTACAAAAATGGCTTACATTATTGAACACCTGTACCAGGCCATACATGAGATGTTTAACATGTTTTTTTAACCCTCAGAATAACTTTATGAGATGATTGCTAGTATCTCTGTATCATAGGTAAGGAACCCTGAGAGTTATACTAGTAAAGGGACTTTATTTAAGGTTTTGCTGCAAATATGTGGCAGACCGACAATTCTAGTCCACGTCCACCTGACTCCAGCAGCTATGTACTATTTTCAGTATACAGGCTGCTTTTATTTTTTTTTTTGCACAGAGGATATAAGAATGTTTTGCAAATAAATATATTGTGGTGAGCATTACAGTTTCCATTTGATATGTTCTTTTTGTGTATTAGAAAGCTTGGTGAAGACAGGTTTACATTCATTTACTTCTGTCATTCAGGAGAAAGAATAACATCTTTCCTGGATGTAATTTTGTTCAATTTTCATAACAGCCCTATGAGATAGGCATTCATATTTTACACGTTAGGAGGGTGAGGATCATATTAATAGAAGTCTTGGCTTGCTCAGAGGCACATCATTAACAAATGTCTGAATATTGATTTTAAACCACATTTTAAAATTCTAAGTATAGTACTTTACTTTGCCCCTATAACATATTGCCTTTTAAACTCTATCAAACTAAATTTTGGGGCACTAGACACATCCTTTTAAATTGCTTCCTAATCTCTTTGGCTTCTTCTCCCTAAGAAAACCCTGACTGAAGTCCACAGTTTGAACTAGAAAGGAAAATTGCTGATAAAACCCTGTGTCAGTTGGTCAAGATATTGCAGGCTTAGAAGATAATACATTTTTACTGAAGCTGCAAGATCAGGCTTTATCCAGTATTTAGAATCACTTGTGCCTGAATATTCCCTATGTCATCATAAATTTATTAACTTAATGTGCATTTTTCTACCCTTGTTATAAGCCTTTTCTTTCATGAACATCTTCCTCTTCTCTCCCATTCTTTTAGTTTTTGAGATGGGGAAAGTCATTCATATGCTAGGCTTCTCCGGATTATCCCTTCTTAAGCAATAGTGTAGTAGTAAGTCTGGAAAATCCAGAGGTTCATTGATCCCTCATGAGTTTGTGTGGTATTGATTGACTGTAGAATTCATCTAATTCTTAGTTATAAAAAGTCCATTATGTCTTGGCTTTTATTCCTAGAGTCAGGGTTAGGTAATTTGCATGCAGGATTGGGAAATCCATTCTTGTTTATGGGCTGCTTTCTTTTATTAACTTTTCTACTTTCAGCCCCCTCCAATATCCCTTTCCTTTTCAGACTGTAAGTACTAACTGAGGCTGGCAAGAGCATTTTCTCCTTTATAGAATCTGCCTTTTGAATCTTTTGAGATGGGAAATGACATTGACAGTATATACATGGCTTCCACCCATATCTGCTTGCTTATATCTTTAAGGCCCAGCTTTCCTGATTTTCTCCTTGATTCCCACAAAGCCAGGATTGATGTCTTCCTCATTGGAACCCTTGTTTTCACAGTACTTAGTGTATTACTGCACTTTGCAAGGGAGGGTATGAGGAAGAGCACAAAATTTGAAGTTAGACAAAGAGCTTGGGCACTTATTTAAATCTCTATTTGTTCATTTGGAAGAAATGATACCTAACTCA